TTCTACCACCAGCGGCATCGTTGCAGTCTCTGTCTTAGAGGACAAAATCGCAGATCCTATGCGAGTGAAAGCCAGCGATTCAGTCGCTCAGTCCTATCCCGAACGTACTGGCGCTTCGGCGACCCTGTTCGGTTTAACTGAGCCTTCAGTGGCGACCTTAACTTTGGTCTCGCCAGTAGAAACGGTGCTTCCACCTCTCGTCTCTGTGAACATTGTTTCGAGTCGTTACGGCTGGCTGACATGGCGCGGCAATACGATGCTCGGAACAGCCAACAAAGGAGATAGTCATTCAGACCAGGATATCATCCCGCCATCTTAGCTACATGCTTAGTGACGGTATACACATGTACAGAAATAACAGCGGGTTAGGTGATTAAAGGGAGGATCGGAATGCACACCAGCCCAAAACTGATGTCGAGCTGACCGCATAATATGGAGAAACAGAGAGCGAAAAATAGAAAAAGCCCGCAAAAGCACTGCAGATTCAGCGCATGAAAGCGTGAGGGGCAGATCTCAATCAAGGAGTACTGCCTCTGCCAGCCGTACCAGTTGTACTTGTCGCTGCTAGCGGTACGCAAACTACAGAGGGAGTCATCTGAACACAACGGAAGAACCAGTGCGTGACGAACGAACCCGCTTGTGCCAGGCAGCAAAATGGCAAGAAGTCTTTTTTTTTTCTCGTTTTGCCAGTGACAACAGATTCTTCCTTCTTCGAAGGGATCGAGGCGGTTATTGCGCTAGCTACCGTGCTAACGTTGCATTTGCTTAGGATAATCATCATCATTATCATCGGCAGCAGTAGAAGCACCGCCACCAGAACTGCCTCCTCCGTCACTAACATAAAGAAGGGGCGCAAGGATTCAGGAGGGACGGAGCTGGTGAACTAGGAAAGGTCTTTGTTGTCGTCATCGCTACCGTTGTCCTTTTTACTTGCTTCTCTTGCTTGACAAGCGTTACCAGCCACCTCCTCGGCTTACCCTCTTGTCGCTCTTCTTGAGAGAAGTTGCACAATACCAGGATAGGAGCATAATCAGCACCATCATTATCGTAATGCTACACAGACTGATACATAACGATAAGGCCATGCAAATATGAGAGTGAACCGACAGGGTAAAGGGGTTAACGGAGCTGACGATGTTGCAAAATCATTATGATGATGACGACGACGCTGGTGACGCTGGCGGGTATTACGATGATAGTAACCGTGATACAACGACAATATTAGCTGGACCTGCCCGTAAAGTACAACACTATAGGCGGGCTTATCTAAAAACGGGACTCATTAGAGCCTCGGCATGCGTATGTACATAGATATATTTGATTCCATTTGAGCGCTTAGTTTCGATAGATGACTTCGATAGAAAGACAAAACATTCCGTGTTTAATAGACATTATTATAAGCACTTCTCGTCGTTTCTGTTTGGGTGCTATCTATATCCGAAGCTGTCCATCACATATTTAGGAAGAATTTAGACATAAGAAGATTTTTTCGTGAAACTATTGTCATTGGTTATCTGACCTTTATTGGTCTTGGCTGTTGTTTCTTTACGCCACTGCAGCCCTTCGCGGTCTGTCTCGCCTGTCTTTCGGGAAGGGGCGCGTTCCAAGCCCATATGATACCATTTCTCCAGCTGAAAGCTCTTTATCCTCTTCGAGTTTTCGCTCATGCGAGTGCTCTATGCTATTCCTTTGCGATAGCTTCATTGATTGAGTTCGCTTTCTGGCAGGCTTTCGAGCACAGTTAGGTAACTGCACTAGCGCCAAATTGTCATTGTCCTTATTTCCTTCTGCTTTTGCATCTTCTGGTAGCGACATTGGAATCGCTGGCACCGGCATTTCTACCGCTGCTCATGTTAGTCTGTCTTTTTCTTTTTTGACACCCGAGACCTGCGGAGGCAAGGCTAACAGCTTCTGTGGTCACACCGGTAAAAGTGCGCATGCCAAAGAGCTGTTCTCCTGAGCAGCTCCAAAAACACGCGCTTTTTTGGCCCTTTTTTTACGTTCGGCCCTCGAGTGCCACCTTTTAGCCACCGTTCGATCATCGATGGTGCGGCCTTGCGGCGTCATAGTAACGTCGTTCTACGTCAGGGCAGTATTCTGTTACAGCGTGGTTACTCGTCCTTTCGACTGGCTGTTAGCGACTTGGCCCCTTCAGGGGTCGCTACCGGCTTCTGCACCCGCCGTCGCCATCATTTCTATGGTCCTTTCTCCATTCCGCTGTTCAACACCGATCTTATGGCCACTGTTAACTAACTCAGCTCCACTAAATGTGACTAGCTGTTACCGCTGCAGCCGCCATTGTCCTAGCGACAGACAACCAGACTGTCTGACCTGGTCCTACCCTAGCCTTGGAGTACTACTCCAGTACGTTGCTTCACTTCTGACTCGCTGCTGCTGCTGCTGTTGCTGCTGCCGTTTGTTCGTTAGTTGGCTGCTGTGCGTTAGTCGGTCGATATTGCACCGGCGTCAGTGGTAACAGCAAACCCCGCTACAGCTACGGCTGCCAACACTGTATTGCTATAGCTTCGCAGTGACCCCCGCCATTGCAGCAAAGGGACAGCGAGCGGCAGCGGTAGAGACAGCAATAGACGCTGGCCAGCCACCGATGGGCTATGGCTTTTGCTCCTACTGAAAGCCATTCGCTTTCTACACTGCTATCGCTACTGTTCCTGCAGCTCTCTCGCTGCCTGCTTTCCTACCTGGCTAGAGCTGACTGCTCCTGGTCGACGCGGACGCCGCCGACACATACAAACCACATACGACATACACGGACGGACATACAGACCGACCGACCGACCGACCGACAGGCAAACGCAATACAGAGCCTGCTGTTCCTGTCCTCTACCGCTGCTGCTTCCGCCGCCGCCACCGTCACTGCTGCTACTACTACTACTACTACTGCTGCTGCTGCCGCCGGTGGCGCTCTAATCAAATTACAGCCCACCCACCCTGCTGCTGCTCCTGCCTCCCAGACTCCTTCATCCTATTCCCCCCACTCCTTCCCCTTCTCCTGTTTGAGATAGCGACTGTAGCAGTAGCAACGGCAGCGTTGGCAAAGACGCCAGGAGAGCTTGGGCGACCCGGGGGTTTGAGCGAAGGTGGTTATAGAAGGGGAAGGAATGAAGCTTGGGAGTAACGTGGATGGGTCCCCTTTCCTGCCGCCACAGCCTTACACCCAAATACTTACCCCCCTTTGGCCGACTGCAGCTGCTATTGCCTCTCCGTTCCGCGGCTGCCTTCTGCCTTGAGTTTCTCCCGTACCGGCTTCTTCGTTGCTCCTCCGTTCGCATGCTAGCATCGGCTTCGTCTGCTGCTGCTGGTGCTGCCGCCGCCGCCGCCATCCTGTGCCAGCCTGCCTGCCTGCCTGCCTGCCTGCCTGGCTGTGCCGTCTTACTTCGTCTCTGCCTGACCCAATAACTCTCTCCGGTCAACTCCAGTCTCCGCTCCACAGCCTGTGCTGCAGTTCGCCAGCAGCTGTCCTAGTAGCGGTAGAAGCAGCAGCTGCAGGAGCAAGGGTGCTGCTGTTGTTAGGGTTGCAGTGGAGGCACCGTTCGTACTAGGGGCTAGTGATGGTTGGTGTTAGCGATGCTGTTTTCGCACAGGCTGAAGCCAAGACTGCCGCGGCAGAAGCAAACAGTCAGTGGTTCGCTGCCAGACAGGCAGGAGTCGTGTTCTCCTGCCTGTTTCCTCCTGCTGCCGCTACCGTGGCTATATCGCCTCGGTTTCAGAAAGAAATAGCAAAAGAGGAACAGGGAGAAAGCGAGTTTGAGCCATATCCGAGAGAGTTCACCCTTCGTTCTCCTTTCACTGCTGAGTGTACTGCAGTCCCTCCCTCTTCGCAGCTGTTCTGCTTCGTTCCATTCTCCTGGCATTTCCTGACTGCTCCTGGCGTCCGACTGCTGCTTCTGATTCTACCAGCAGCAGCATCGTGCTAGCCCTGTCGGTCTTTCAGTCAGCGATAGGACGGTTGGATCTCTGCCCGTCAAGACTTGGGGTTCTAAATCGCTGGGCCACCGCTACGGTTATGGTACCACAGCTAACAACAGCACCACAGTGGACAGGGGCAAACAGGCAGCGCCGAGCGGACAACACTGCGTAACCGCAGCAGCAGCAGCAGCAGCAGCACACTGGCTTCAACAGATGCCAGCTAGCTGACTATGGGCAAAGGTTCCTTGGCGTGTGGCCCTTGCCCCAGAGGCGGGGGTTCGTCTTGGCACCATCTAGCAGCTAGCAGTTTGGGCAAGCCGACAAACAGCGTACCACTGTTTCTTCTGCAGCTACCATTCTTTAAAGGCCGAACGTCAAGTAAGCATGAGTTCTTTTATTACCGGTGTTGCCTCCGCTGTCGTGCCTCGTGCATCGCGCACCGCGTCCTTGCAATTACTCGCCATACAGAGGATGCATGTATTATCGAAGAGCGCAATCGTAGCTTTGTAGATCGTGATAATTCACGATCTGCCTATGCCGATCTCCCATAAACCCACCTGTCATTAGAACAATTTTAGGCTTAATAGTTCGTCGCCAAAAGAGTGGGCTTTGTAGCGCGCAAAACAACAAGGGCCGCAGAACCTTCTTAGCTTTCTATCAGCGTATTTAATGCGTTCATATGATTTTGGCACTCATTTTGGCTCAACCATCATCTATTAAAATTAAGACATGGGCCAAAGTATAAAGATCATCGTGTGCTGGCTGATATGTGTCGCGTCAGTGGTTAGATGTAAAAATATACATTTAGAAATTTGTATATGTCATCTATAAATGCCATATACAAAGTCCTCATGTCGAGTGGATGGATTCATCGACATAATGTTTACGTACAAATATCTATAATTCACATATTACCAAGCTGCTGATTTACTATTCCAAGGGAACATATCTTTATGTGCAGTAGTATCGGATACATAACACGGTCTCGTATACCGTACGATGACAACCATTCACTGATAGGTACAATTGGCGAGAATTCGATTTGTTCCCTAAGCGTGCTTTTTTCGTTTCAGCAGCCGCTGCAGCGACGGCCGCGCTCCCGTACAAAGTCTACTCTTCGCCAACGGTCCATACGCACGGCGACGGAGTGTTAAGCGAGAAACGTAAACAGCGCCGTATTCGAACGACCTTTACGTCGGCGCAGCTTCGTGAGCTTGAGAGAGCTTTTCAAGAAACTCACTACCCGGATATCTACACGCGGGAGGAGATCGCTATGAAGACTGACCTTACTGAAGCTCGTGTACAGGTTAGGTCGATCGACTACAACAGACATGCAGAAACACACATATCGAGAAACGCCTATCATTCACGAGCTGGTAGATCTAGTAGAAGACAAGTTTTCAACTACTATTGTTGTAAGACACAGCGGCCGATAACTTTGAAAAAGCAATGGCTTCTCTCAATCAATTAAAATCTTAGTAATTTTCAACATGAGTAAAATAGTTCCTAACAAGAATGATCTTTTGCACCTTGCTTCACTGTGTTTGACTAAATAGATGTTTAGAGTCCGATGGCAGAGTCTGAAGTATGTGGTTAGCGCTTTTATCAGCCTATCTTTAATGGCCTAAGCTGGGCAAACAGGCGGATATAATCTGTCTATTGTGCTCTTGTATCGACTCAGTGGTGACGCGTGAGCCATGAAGCTCCTGATGGCCACAGCAGCAGCAGTGGCTGTCTCTCTTAATGAGTACTACTGTGACAACGAGTACTCAATGGCAAGCGCTCCTGGGCGGAGCGAGTCCTGGGCAAACCGCAGAATCGCTCCGCATCAAACTACAGTTCAACTCCGAGGACTCAGCAGCGTACGGATACTCCCTGCGAGCACTCATGTTGTTCATTTGTTGGGTCGCTCGCGGAGTGCAGACATCGCGTTATGCACTGGGCAATACGGAGGGAGCGTTCCGCACTAACTGAACGACCGACACGTATTACTTGTTCGCCGCTCAGTTGGACTGATGCTACTTTTAAATACTCGGCAGTGGCAATGTTAAATGAGCCGGAGCAGTTGATCATTGCCACGGGCGAACACGAGAGTTGACTGGGTCTTGGATCCAGTCAAGTGCGTTTAATTCAGTGCTAGGACAAGAGGCGATAGCCGACGCGTTCGAAAAGCGCACCGAGTTGCATCGCAACGTGAGATCGTGTGCGGTAGCACAATGCTCGAACCAATGGACCAGAGATATCGAGCTCGAAGGATGAGCACATGGTAGTAGACACACAGACAAGGATCAGACGATGACGGACAGACCTCCCCCCGCACACCCCACACAGATCCTCTCACATTTTACTACGCGCACCAACCGGGGTACCCCGAAGCTCAGCAAAGTTCGAAGACACAACAGATCATCAATGAAGAGGGAACAAAAACTACACGAAGCTGACTCCATTGTGCCTCATTCAAATCTGTTTTTTTCACCACCTGGCTTATCTAAGAACCAGCGTCATCGAAAACGACCATTCAAGGGTAAACGCTCTTCTAGCAGGTGCGATTACACAATGTGAGTTACGAGAAACAGAAAAAGAGTGAGAAAACCATGTGAGGACAAGGCACATTATGAACATCGTTTACATCAGAAATCGTATTCTAATCTAGTCAGGACAAACGAAAGCGTACCTTAAGTGACCTCAGAAGAATCGACGATGTTTATCTCTAGTCTAGTGTTAGTCTTCACAGGTACGCTACTGTACTGTGAAGCTGTTACCTACCTGTCCGTAATTCGAGGCTAGATGCAGATAGCATGAAGTTTTTCATTGAAGTGGTTACTGGCAGCACTGCCAGATAATAATTGGATTCAGCTACCGCTGACGAGCAGAACGAGCGATAGGACGACTTTTCGCGGATGGATCGCGCTCAGATTGATGACTTAGCGATCTAAGGAGTATCGCCGCTGCTAGAGGGCAGCTAGCAACCCAACGTTCGCCCAGTATAGTTTACTCTTCAAGTACGTCGGTTAATTGGCTTTGATCGAACACCATGAACTATACGGAACGCGACTATTCAATAGTCGTTGTCTCGCCGTTACAACAACAAAGCAACGTATGTAATCAGGTCATCCTTCATGGGCAGAGAGAAGGCAGGAAAAAAAGAAAAAAATGCTTTCGAGGTTAATTGCTGATTGAAAACGCGTCAGCTGGCATTATCATACTTTTGAACTTGGGCTTCTACTAGATCCGACGTTGGATTTGTTGCGTAACGATAAGCGATAGCCTCCTGGGTGAAAGATCGCGATTCGTTTAAGCTGTCATTAGTTCGATATACAGTTGTCTGATGATTGTTTACATGGTGGCTGCAGCTAGAAAATAATATGTAATAATACGATAATAATATAATATAATATACTTCAGTCATCAACCGCTTTACCCTCGTGAAGAACTTCATCGGCTCATTCATCCGTCCTGCAAGGTCGAATACGGCGAGAAATCTATACTGCTTTAATCTAGTGCTTAGTTCCATAGTGGCCTCATCATACAAACTTGCAAATCAAACATTCCGCCAAAAACAGAGATTCGATTTCAAGACTTAACCATCTGTAGGCTTCTATTAAATCTCGCATGTTGTTCCCAGTGTTGAACGTTCACATGGGGCCATACCGAAGCTGTGACAACTAACTACACTTAGAGTGAATGAGTTTTATCCGCTTAGAGCCACTAGCGGTGCGACGGCTTGAAGTTTACACAATCAAGTGTCTTCTGGGAGATGGCGGACATGCGGAGAACCATGAGCAGCACTTGAGATATTAGTTAACGAGGACGGACGCGTGCGGATCGGAAGCTGTATATTGCTCGGGGCCTGATCAAGAAAGAAACCATCTGGGCAGCACGCGCCACCGAAAATTAGATATAAGCAAAATGTCGTGGCCAGCGATTCTGCCCCCGCCCCATTCAAATGACGACCTTAACAACGTATAAGCAGTTGTTAGACACTGCTATTATAATTGGCAGAAAAACCAAAATGTTGCTCACCGAAAAACTCTAGTGCTCTTCATTAATAACGAAATACACAAATACTATTAAGCGATGCAAAAATTACCTGTTTCTTGTTCGGGAAGTTTCACACCGACGGGAATATGGTATTATACGATCATAGATAGCAGAAGATCAGCGATCAAAAGAGCTTGCAAGTGTTAGAAGTTACAAGCCTGCATTTTGCCTCTTTTTTCTCTTTTCTTTGTGAATATTTGTGTCTCTGTCGTTATATGTGACCAACTGTCATACACTAACGTTTTTCGGTGAATTAAGGACTATTAAGCGACTTCTACAGAGATCAAAACGGACCTATGATCTATGGCGGATACATTAGAATTTCTTATCCAAATCCTATTCATTTTTGCCGAGTAGCTAAAAATGTACGCGGTCTGGCATTGTCAAGATGGGAGGCAACGCCTCATCTGTTCACAGTTATTACTGGTCGATCTCTCCAAATGGCCTATTGTGATCTTGTTAGTGGATGACAGCAGAAGTTCGAATCAATTGTTTTTTAGGTAGAACGCACAATTTCTTTAAATCACGACCTCTTAAGCGTCTATCCGGGTTTTGCCACAGGTTGTGGGTCAATTTTTTTCCTTCGCAGATTATTTCCGTACATGGTTAATTTTTTTTATCATCCGTGATTGAGCTTTGGAAGACGCTCGATCTCGTTGCGTTTCGCAGATGGAATTAAGATCCAGTTGCTCCTTTTGCGTCAATTCAAGCATCAAGCATCTTTCTATTGCTAGCCTATTTGAAATGATTTAGAATGTTAGTTTCTTGCTAATATCCTAGCTACGTGTCGGTCAGCTTTCCGACCGACTTTTCCGTACGTAGGTCAACTCCTATGAGAATCATCTTTTACAGTGAAACTATTAGAGCGAAAGCGACAAAACCACATTTGGGCCTTTTCCTTCAGTAACGTATCTTGGCCATAAAGAGGATAATTTTTATAGATCTAGGCATCTTAAATTTGGCCAAAAGCATTTCCGCACATCTACTACCATCAATTTCAGCTTTCAAAGTACATCAACGCCAACCACATGCGAACTCATGTTATTCCAGATGAGATATGTGCCTTTAAGTAGTCAACACTTTTTTCGACAACTTCATACATATAGCGTACCTTATATAAATACGGTGCCAGACTCTGGGATAAATATGCATGGTATTGTGTACCACTTTTAACATTAAAAGAAAATCCGTTCGTTCTAGAGGAAAATGACCAATTTGCCGTGGTGAAAACTGTTATTAATACTTTTCGCTTGATACGTACCTCTAACAAGATCAAAAACGTTCCCTTTGACAAAAATACGTCGTTACCAGTTTTGTTGCAATTTCTGAAATGTTACCGGGTTTTCGATTGAAAGCACTTGAAAGAATATCAAGATAGCTTGACAACCGTTTTCTTCACACCTGAATTTTTCATTTGATAATGATAATGAACCTTTTTGGGGAGAAATGTCTATTAAGTCGCCTAGATAAGTTTTTAAATTTTTCTTGGGTTTTATAGGCTTTTTCAGCTCTTGCCTTTCTGGTTCTTTTGACTTTCTATCACTCCAAAATATATTTGTACTGAAATTCTCGAAGGTAGCTTATTTGAGCGACATTTTACTACTTAGTGTTTCCCTATATCTCTGGCCGCACGGTTACTACCAGAAATTATTTGCGGAGTGAGGAAGAAACATTCTGAGTATGGCTAGTGGGTGGTTTAGGTCCCGAATTGAAGTTGTGATCGCGGAAAACGCTTGTTACATTAAATAGGCATAATCTTCCAAATGGACAATTCCACAAAAGGTAGGATTTTCTATAAAATATATAATTTTTTAAAATCTAGAAAAGGTCTTAGAAACGGAGCGTCGGAAGGGGTCTCAGTTTAGACGCCGCATTCTGTATATTTGCTACAAACATTGAGTTGCTTATCACCCTGCTTCTTGTGTATTCCCATTAAAGTGGGGAGCGTTTTCTCCCACGGATATATGTCCTTCGCTAGCGTGGGTGGTTGTGTGCTGACCAAATGTTTATCTTCTCGTTGACTTGATGGCTGAGTTTTGCTTTAGCTTAACTTTCCAATAGAAAAACTTAGATAGGTGAAAATTGCACAATCATTGATCGGTTGCAGTAGTGGTGCCTTAAACCCAGCGGTGTATCAAACAATAATCCCCTATATAAATAGTTTTGTAAATGTATCTACGCCCCATCTCACAGTTTATATAGGGCTGGTCGTTAGATTCGTTTAACTTTCCCATAATAACTTTCTTATGCCGGCTAGAGAAATTA